TATTTGGAACATTTTCTTTGAATCTACGCAACATAGCCCATAACCGCTCGTTCATAAGACGATGGTCTTGTGCCAAAGATGCTAGACATCAAAGGAAAATAGGAATTGGCTGGAATTTCTAGAAGGGTGAGTCTCAATTCTAGTTTTCTAAGATGGTCCATAGGAATTTCTAGAGCTAGAACCTAGGCTCTAAGGAGGAGAAGAAAAGACCTCACAAAATGAGGTCAACAGCAGGCACCGACCAGGGAGGGAGAGCGCGAGGGAACTCAAGGGTATCTAGGGCAAATCTTGCGGCCGAACGTTGGGACGCGGGTCGAGAGCCGCGTCAAAGACCTTAAGGAATTACTCGAAGCGGGACGCAGCGCGGTATAGTTAAGCCGCCCGAACGCCGATCCAAACACAGCGGCGGCGTTTTCAAAACGTCGCTGCACCTAAATAAGCTGCCCCAAACGGGCTCTTAAAAATATTTAATGATCATGTTTGGTTTACAAGATTTATGTAAGGTAGATAAAAATGATCTAATTGTCGCTTATAATTTATTAGATGATGTTCTGCCGGCCTTGTACCCTCTGGATTGTACTCACGTTATGGATGATTGGAACCTATGCTACTTTATTCCTTGCAGTTTGTGTCTTCCCTAGCAGTTAATGGTTTGTTGGATGTCAGAATCCTCCCTACTTATTCACCCTTAAATATGGTTGTCAGACCTACAACATCACAAACCATGTATGCCATAATTATTTACCTGCCTAGTGATAGGGACCTATCTTATGGAAATCAAATTACTATTGCTGCCACTTCAGTAATGGAATCTCATGCTACAATTGATCAGTTTGAAGTGGAGGTTGATGATATTTCAGAATCTAACCAATCTCAAGGTTTTGTTAGAATGTTCCCATGTCAAATAAATAAAAGGTTTCATATTGTCACTTCGAGAGGAGACATATAAGAAAAAAAAGTGTCTTTACTCTCTCATGTTCATCAAATTGTAAGCTAGACACGATTATTTTATTGATGACTTTGATGCTCTTGAATCAGCATGAGGGTTTGCTCCTTATCAAATGTATTTTCATCTCATGTTTCAATGTATTTTGTTGCATCAATTTTTTTATGATGGTTCTTTGCAACTATTTTTATATGTAGCCTTTTTATTAACTGGTAAAAAAGCATTAACTTCGTCTCCAAAAGAAAAATAATAAAGTAATAATAATAAAATGTTTAAGTATTTCAATATACAACTCAAATTTGATACCAAGCTGACCTAAACGGATAGATAATGCCTTCATAATTTCTTCATGTATTTTTCCCTTTTTTTACTTTTTTATTTTTGTCTTTTTCTTCATTTTTCTTTTTGGCCATTTAGCAGCATTCAGTAAAAAGAAAAAATATAACTAGCTAAAAATGGACAAGTGCTATGAACAAAACGTTAAGCAACAGAAAAATATGACGAAATAAGGCCCAAGATTGGGCATGTAAATCGGAGTGTAAACTTTGTCTTGCTTTCTTCTAATTCTTAGAGTGCACACATCATGTCATTAAATATAGATAAGGGTTTTACTATGAAAAACTCAAGCCTGCAGATAATTTCAACCAAAAGAAAAGTGTGACAAGTCAGTGCAAATGAAAAGGATAAACTCTATATGTAAAACTTAAAGCGAATATTTTGAAAAAAAGGGTTCAGGAAATATATTGCTTTAGATGTCCAACTTCACGCTATTAATTAAAATCAAAGAATTGCCATTTACCGGCACTGTAGTGAGTCTCCAATTCTTCTTCCAGCACACCCTTTAATAATGTTGACCAATTCTAGAGGAAATTTCTTGCCGGAAAAATTGCACTCAGAGGGGAAAGCAAACAGATTATAAGCATTCCCTACATTCAAAAAGTGAGCACTAAGATTAACCACCAATTCATGCCGGGATAAAATAAAGGCAATCATGTCATTAGAACAGACCACGGGAAAATAATACCCAAATATGTAAAATAGTGAGATCAAATTAACTTGAAAATTTATACCTAATCTTCGCACATCCAAAAATAATCATAGTATTTTATAAAATCTTGAATTCTGATAGGATTATATATATAAAGTAGAAAAGGTAGGAAAGCAACACTCTTTTTCTCTAACTTAAAAATTTTACCCTAACTGAGAAATTCAAGTTCGCTCTTTTTGAAAAATTTCAGTGGGGGCACCCACCTATGAAAGCCAACAGAAAGAGAGTTGGTGAGATCTCAAACTAGTAGACAAATGGAAAGTGAGACTCATAGATGAGAGACATGTGTTGATTTAATTAACCGTGGCTGAAAACTACACACGAATTTTCTCCAAAAAGTATCTTAATATTGCAGACAAGTCAATGAAGTTACTCAAGTGGTCTCCTGATTTTGACCCAAATCATGAAACTCACACTATACCAGTATATTTTAGTCTACCTGGTCTCAAGCTGCAGTTTTTTAATTATCAGGGTTTCTACTCTATTGAGACCATACTTGGGACGCTATAGAGCTAGATCTATCCACTTTCAATCTAACCAGACTTTTTGTGGCCAGAATACTTATGGAAAGAGATATTACTTTATCTGATATTACTGAAGTCTGGTTGAGCACAACTCATAATGGATATTGGCAACAAATCGTCATGGAACACAGATCTCCTTATTCTACCCAATGTAAGATGTTTGGGCATGCCCTTGATAAATGTCAAAAGCTCCATCCTAATTTGAAACCAAAAGTTCAAGTAAATAAGGAGGGGTCTAACCTACACTGAACATATCTGCTCCACTTGGAGAAGAAACTACCACAAGACAGGATTTGATGACTGATGTAATTGCTCATGTGGACCCCCCTTGACAATACTGTTACTGTTTCTTTGATTGATGTGATGTTGGATGATTCTGCAGGGCAACCTACACCATCAAACCCTATTGAAAACAAAATTGAAGGATCTTTACTTACAAATGATAGTGTTCGGATTGATAATCAGGAGAACCTTACAGCTCCCCATCTTTAGGAAGTATCCGGTGTAGAGGCGACAACTCATACTTCACATATACTAGAAACTATTGTGAGAACAACAATTGGAAATCCTTCTGCTACAGCTCTACCACCTCATCTGAATGATCAATCTTGAATGATCAATCTTCGGATGGAGGAATGGCAGGTTTACACTTTCAGGAGGAAGAAGAAGAATGGAAATCTACTTGAGCTAAGGAATCTAATGGATGAGACTGCTTACTTCTGGTAATGGCACGTACCTTATCAACTTGTTAGCTGGCTCCCTTCAGAGAACTAGAAGCAGAGGCAAAACTAAATTGGGTCGTCCCTAACTACTTCCGCACCCTGGTGCTTTTTTTTTTTATATATGTACCCTCCCTTTTTTTGAGTTTTTTTTTTGTTGTAGTGTGTGGGTTGGGTGCCTACTTTTGGGCCCACTCATACAACCTATCTGCATTCTTTTCCTTTAATATATTAACCCTTGGGTTTTTTTTGGTCTTGCCTCTGCCTCTAGTTCTAGGGAAGGAGCAAGCTAATAAGTTGGTAAAATGATTGCAATTGTCAGTAATAACTAATGTATCATCCAATATGTTCCCGAGTTGGAGTCGGCCTCCATTCTTCTTCTTCTTCCTGGAATAGACCTGACATTCCTCATCCAAAGAATCAGTCTGATGGGGTGGTAGAGGTGAAGCAGAAAGAATACAAACTGTAATACCCATAATAGGTTCTAGTATATGTGAAGTATGAGTTGCCTCTACACCGGATACTTCCTGCAGCAGGGGCAACAAACTGTAATACCCATAATAGGTTCTAGTATATGTGAAGTATGAGTTGCCTCTACACCGGATACTTCCTGAAGAAGTGGAGCTACGAGGCTCTCCTAATTATCAGTCTGAACACTATCATTTGTAGGTGATAGCCCATCAGTATTGTTTCCTATGGGGTTTGAAGGTGTCGGCATCACATCACTCGCAGTAACAGTAATGGCAGGGGCAATAGAATCAGACACCAAAAATCTGGCTTGTGGTAGTTTTTTCTCCAGGTGGTACAGATATATCCTTAGAACCATTCTTATATATAAGAAAGCCCAAGGGCTAATATAGTAGAAAGGAAAGATACAGAAAGGTTGGATGAGAGGGCTCAAACTGAAACTTAAGCACCCGGAATACAACACACACCTACGTCCCAAGAAAGTATATGTATACCCAAAAAACCAAAATTATAAGCTAGACATGTAAACTCCATGCCAAAAAATCTCCACACTCTCGATAATGGGAGCTTGAGTGTGACCCAATGTATCATTCCCTCTTACCTCTGGTTCAAGATAGGGAGCCTACTAAGAAATGGTTAAGTCTACTGTCATTACCCGAAACAACTAATGTAAGTTCCTGAGTTCTAATAGGCATTTATTCTTCTTCTTCTTCCTGGATGTGTAAACCCGTCAATCCACATCTGAAGACTAGCTCATCAGATCAGTGTATTGGTCCAAAGATTGGCGGGCATGTGTAGGTTGTTGCACAACATGATCCCCTTATTCCTAAATAACAATAACAACTTGTTCGATCTGATAAAGTGGTAGGGCTGCAGTAAAAGCTCACTTATGATAGAATGTTGAATTTGAGGCTGGGGCACACCTATGGCTAGACACTCCACCACGAGATTGCCAACTGTTACATCAATGATAGGTTCTAGAGTAGGTGAAGTATCAAATGTCTCCTCTGCCTCCACCAACTAATGTTCCACAAGAGGCATCAGAGGACCTTCATCTTGAGCATTATGTGGAGGCTGAATAGTTGAAAGTTTTTTTCGCAGGGGTAATTGAATGAAAACAATCCTATTAAATGACTTTGGATTGGGCTAATTAACAATAGCCGAGATTTTGGTTGGATTCATCTCAATGCCAACCACTAATACGACATATCCAAGGAAGTAAGGGTGCATTTGGGTGGACTTATATGCGGCTTATGCGTTTCGAAAATGCAGGTAAGGTGTTTGGTTTTCGCATTTGGAGTGTGTCCCGTGAAACGCATTTTTAAGTTATAACAGTATACAGCTCGCGCCCTCAAGGTCGCGTACCAGCGTTTTGATCTTTTTTTTTTTACTTACCTCACGCGTCTATTACTTCTCCCTTCCTCTTCTCCCCTGTGATCCGCCCTCGCTGTGCTCAGTAAGTACCTTCCCTTGTTTTTCTTGTGATCCATATCAATGGAGGATTGCATATGGACGGCTGTGAAGCATTGCATATGAATGACTCTTCCGACTTTTAGGATGAAATGTTTTCCATGCGAATTAAGATGTGAAGCATTGAATGGCATTCTTTTTTATTTTGAGATGGTTTTCGTTTTACTTAATGGAATCCCGATGTTTTATGTGGCAGTTTTGTGGTAGTTTTGCTTCATCATTCCCTACTTATAATATTTGAGAGAGGTCGCGGCCCGACCCGTAGGTAGATATTCAAGAGGCTACGGCCCGAGCAGCGTGTCGAATATTTACGTCTCTAGATTGACAAATAAGTCTGCTATTTTGAGGCTCTTGTATTTGTGGATTGTAGTGGATATGTTTGCTTTTTAAATATTTTCATATCTTTGTTGGCAGCAAAAGTAAGCATTGGCAAAGAGTTTTGAATAAAAATATTGAAATCATAATATCACTATCGCACCAGAATAAAAATACAATCATTACAGTCTTAAGATTCAGCTATTCAATCCTCCCAGAACCTTTAAAAAATTATTTCGCTTTTTGTAGTATATTCGCACTAGCTCATCTATTTGATAAAGATGACTTGGTTCGAATATGGATTGCATTATCCAGCCGCCTTCTATTGTTTTTGGTTATGTTTACGGTGTTACAGTTTCCATCTCTCTGTTTTATTGTAGGAGTTCAATTCAACATTCTATTATCTTTAGAAATGATTTGGTGTTAGATATGTAAATACATAGAAATTGAGTGGCATGCATATAAATCTTCCATTTTTATATTCTTATATCAAAATTGAATTGGGCATTTTTTTTATTAATCTTTTTTTTCAAATTGTACGATTTTTTATCACGTAATTTTCTAACTAGTCTATTCTCTCTTAAATGATTGTAGTAAGATGAGCTATAGGTTTTCAAAAAAGTTCGAGCGAGTACTATGTCCCTGTGGACTGTCGTCCTTATTACTCACGTCACGTCAGCAGCATAGCTACGGGCGGCAATTCTATAAGTGTCGTGGTGGCCACATGGACCGGAGGACTACAAGTTTTTTAGGAGAGCAGAAAGTACATCCAATTCTACGTTATCCCAACCTGACAACGTTGCTCGGAGTTCAACGGTATCACAACTTGAGAACATCATTTGCGGTTCAACTGTTTCCCAGTCGGACAACGTTGCTCCGGGTTATACGGTATCACATCCAGGCGACGTTCTTCGTGACATGTTTCTACATTTTAAAATAAATATTGTCATTTTTTACCTTATAATTTTAACATATTATTTCTCTTTTTTTAGATTTCATGATACTCACTATTATGTGAGGTATATAATATCTTTTTTTGTACTGTTATGAAGGGTTTTTATTGGTTCTAAAATAGTTAATGTATAGACATTATAGTTTTATTAAAAACATTACAATTTCAGCATGTCAAATCGTTTATTTACTTAAAAAAAACCTGCAAATCAGCTGCTCTCAAAATGCACAAACTAAACATCTTATCTAAAACAGGGGCAAAATTTTCATTTATCTAGAATCAGCTGTTTTCAGAACCACAAACCAAACAGTCAGACAGTTTATCCGAATCAGTTGTTGATCAGCAGCTTATCAAGATAAGCTGGTTATCTCGATATGCAGGATAAGTTGTAGCTGCCCCAAACAAACCCTAATTCTATATAATGAAGAAGTGATACTTCTATGTATGTTCATACAGTTGGGCTTTCCAAAGAACTTCAAAAATGTATCACATGTACTACAAATGCTTCCGCATTAAACAGCTATACTCCAAAATATAGTCAAAATACACAAACATATCCAATAAAGGCTAGAAAAAACTAATTCATCAGCCTAATAAAAGTATTCAGTGTATTAGATAGACCAAAATGCATGATTTTTCACTTATACAATCAATCTCGCATGATACTGTTACGAGGCTTCTTGAAGGTGTTTAAGAAGCAAATTTAGTGGGGAAATGATAAGAGAGCAGCGAGGGAATGAAAATAAGGGTAATCAACGATGTTTGGAAGGAGATAGGTGGCGTTTGACAGCTATCCAAACTGAAAACAGATATCAAATGACAATACAGCAAGATATAGGTGATGAGTTACCTATTTCTAAGCAAGATACAGACACGCCCTTACAAAATGAAAAGATAGAGCACTCCTTAAAGCATAAACCAGATAATAAAATCTCTCAAAAAAAATGAAGTCTCAAAACAGCCCAACACCAAATATAAGAAAGCCCATAATAAAAAATAAAACTAATTGAAAATAAATAAATATGAAATAAAGCAAAAAAGGTAGAAATCCTTGTTGATTTTGCTAAAGTCGGTACGGAGGACAGTAACTTCCGCGAATATGCAATTTATGCAAACCACGGAATTGAGACACAAAAGGACTCCCACACCCGCGTCTCTATATCACAAAATTAGGCCTTATTCTCCCACAATCACGTGCTTTTTGCTATCCCGCAAAATATGTCGACCGCAGATCTCACAAAAACTGGATAGCGGGACATCTGGTGTAATGCTCTCACATCATTCTCTACGAGTAAGCGAGGCTTCTTCTTCTCTGAAAACTTATGAAATCGATCTACCACCATCATAACAAATTCAATATCTTGTTGTGTCTGAGGCAGTCTACTATAAAAAATATGTCCATGTTTATCCCAAGCAACTCTAAAAAACAAATGTCATTCTAAAAAATGTTCAAATATAATAAGAGTCATATTTCCTTAGCACAACCAAAATTGAAACTGTACGCGGATGAGTATTCTAGAACAAAATCTTGAGTCATTACATATATAACTTTCTTCTCCAAGTTCTAGTGCTCCGTGGGGTATCCAATAAACAAGTTTGTCTAAAAGAACTTACTCTGAAATGAAATCTATGGCATGCTGGAACACTCTCATTAGCAACCACCCAGAAGATAAACTATCGTTCAGGATATCCAACAATTCCTTCCGCAAGTGTCGTCCCTTTTCTGGTATTGACTCTTCAGACTCATTAGCTTCTAAATCAATCAATGTTAATCATGTTTTAATCCATCTCATAGGCTCAACTTGAATCACTAGCATCTCTACATCCTCAGTTGGAAGCTAGTACGTCTTTTTTTGCATCCTCACTTTCTTCGGTGTCTCCTACATCACAATCTATTTCTTCAACTATTCCATCCTCAGTGAAGAAGATCGCCCTCCTATTTGGGCAATCAAATGCAATATGCCTATAGTCATGGCACTTGACGCACTTCCTTTTTGGGACCAATTTTTTAGCACTCGATGTTTATAGCTTTTTCCACTCTGAATAGGTTTATTATCAGGTGGTATCGGAGGGGATGCTTCGCTAGGTGTACATTTCTTGTATGATTATAGCGTAGAAAGATATGATTGTCACCTGGTGACGTTGTTTCTCCACCTACAAAGCTAGTGTCTGTACATCGAATAAGGACCAATACAGGTGCAACTGCACACGATCCCAATAGGAAACCTCAGTACTCCAAAATACCTTGTTACTATGGGCCCATCTAGTTCCACTACACACATTTCAGCATAAGTTGATCCAATACAATTCAGCTGTGTACTCCACAGATAATCTCCTTGGCATATGTGATAGAATTACATGAACATATCCTATTAGTACTGTAGGGAAAAGTATTTGCGCTACATCTCCGCTTTCATCTTAAACCAAGTTGTGATATTATGATGACCAAAGAAACTTCAAGTTCTCTAGTCACTAAGATGCACTCTTATTTAACTTAATTGCAGTTAACTTCTATATTTATGTCCAGTGAAATGTCTTTATACTCAAAGATTCATTCTACTACTTAGAGTCACTCAATGAATTCATCTGAATCCATGCCACCGCTAAAATTTGTCAAGTTAATCTCACTGTAGAATCTTAAATTCTTCTGTGATATTCCCTGCCAAATCATCTTGGTATTTGTTCTTCATCTCTAGAAACTTTCCAATGTAAATGATATATATTAATATAGGTCAAATAACTAAGCGTATATAGGCATTCCTCTAGAAAAAAATATTCTATGGTTTAAATGCTTTAATATCAAATGACACCATCCCATGGTGCTCAGACAATATATTAGGATCGATTCAAGTGCTGGATGATTCAAGTGCTGGATATATTGTTAGAATAAAAAGGAGAAAAGTATTTGATTCATCTAGGATTCGGAAAAGGGAAGCTGGATAGTGGCTACCTTGGAGGGAAAGTCAGCAACTAAGAGAAGAATGGCGGCTTGATCAGTAATAGACAGACATCAGGAGGCTCCACCACTTATTATTAATCAAGATACAAACTCATCATCTGAAGAAAAAGAAGACTACAACACTCCTAAGAGCATAAATCCAGAGAAATAATCTTTACATTGTATAAATCAAAACCCCAAAAAGTATCCAGCTTGTTCTAAAACAACATACTTATACAAGAACAAGAATTGAACTCTAATACAAATTAAAATTAGACATATAGGGGGCCCACAAGAAAAGAGGCAAAAAAAATCTCCCAAGATTGGGCTCAAGGAACAGAAAAAGCGCATCTCGCAAACGTCCTGCCTGGATGGGACATTCCCTCATTACCCCCACAGATCATTCAAATAGAATCTTGAAATCCAACCGGCTGAAACCATTTTGCTCGGCATCATGCACCAAACAACAAACCCAAAACCAATCTCAGCCCTCAGCAAACAAAACTACAAACGCTAAGACTGCATGAACACCAATTCAATTTCCCTCAATCCTAACAAAGCAGGAAATCCTAGCAAGCCCAAAATAAGCATATGATGCAAGGCATCCCATTTTCCAGTTGGAAAATATGATGCAAAGGTATCCCACATTCCTGTTGGAAAATAATCAAAATTGATCTGGAATCTTCCCCAGTTAAGACTTTGATTTCCTTCAACCAAACACCTCCACTGTCAACCAATCTGTGACGTAGACTCCTTCCTTGTTTGTTTGAAAAATGCTGGCATCATGATCCAGAATTCACCACTTTTTCCACTAAGAACAATTGTTTCAAAGCATAAGCATCCATTTCAATCAATCGTTGAGAGAAGTTCTTTGCATGTAATATGTTTTCACATAACCTTGAAGGTGTTAGAGTACATTTACTTGATAAGAAAATTAAGCACTACACTATTAAACATTTTTCATTATCAATATAATCATATCAATGCAATCGCTGGAAATAAAACATTGTGCATATTGCACCCTTACAAGGAAATCACTTGCAATGTACAGAAAATTTCATGCATGCTGGTTTCCTGAATAATTTATCCTAATCAACTAGCTATTATAAAAAATGAAGCAACCTTTGTCATGATATCATCATTAAGCAGAGAAATGTACCCGAACAGTTACCATTCTGAATCTCTACTGGAGAGCTGGCTTCATTTCTCCTTAGTGTTGAGTGTTTCAAGATATGGATGGAAGGTTTTGAGCTTCTCATATATTCAACCTCCTCAATATCAACAGCAAGAGCCGTTGCTCCGAGATCAAGAGCATATCTATATTTCCATAAGGATCTTTATGAAGCATAAAAAAGCTGACAACAGAAGAGCGAAAAAATCACAACATCAACGACAAAAGCTCAGCTGCTCGTCTGTCCAGAACATGCCTTAAGATACAAAACGGCTATTTCTATAGCATAAGGTAATCAATAATGAAGAGAAACAATCTCTCAATGCTGATAATCAAATCTGCCTTTCTAGACAAGCATGAGCTTACAAAAGGGAAAGTTTCAAAAGCAACAAAGTTGTTTTCCATTGCCACGCTGCTAAAAGTTTTGTGAAACCGTAACAGCTTTAAAGCTTATGATAGTATGATATGGTTAGTCTGCTTTGCAGCTGGAAAGACAAAATAAACCTGTTTCGTTATTCTTGAAATATAGATGTAATTATCAATCTTGCCTAGAAAACCAAAGCAAGATAATTCCATGCATCCAAATGTGAAAATAAGAATGGGTAGTCTCTTTCCAGTGAAAGTAAGTAAAATGTGAAATAATTTTGTAAAGCTCTAGGATTGATAAGTTGATACGGAATTAACCCGAAAGTAAAACTCTGTTGATGACATCGTTTTCCCTTGATGGTAATTTTATTAATCGCAAATCCCCACTCATATGCAAAACACCTCTATGACAAATATACACAATATCAGTTGACAACAATATCAAGCTGTATATTTAGAATAATCCCTCTGGAAAAAAAAAATGCTCAAATCAGTTATGGATTGGAAAAATCAGCTGAAAGTTCTATGTTTGATTTAGACAAGTTCACAAAGTACCTACTTAATGAAGAGAAAATAATAGCAGCTAATGAGTAAGTATCAAATAACTTCTAGGAACTAATGAACAATATAAAACAGGAACTTTGCAAGATATTGGCCGTCATTCAAGTTAAAGCCGTCTATTTGATAATCTCGTAATTCAAAGAATTTATAAATTAACATTTTTTATATTTCCTCATCAAGCTTTTCTCTTTCTTAAAATAGTTGGGTTTCATATTTGAATGTCCAATCAATCATGGCTGGTTGAATAAAAATTATAAAATAAGTTATTCAACATATATTCTCAAATTTATAGTTTTCTATCACTGATGAAAGTAGAATATGAATAATGACGGCTCATGGGAACTTCAAAAATTATAATAAAGCAGAATTAAAAATGAGAAGCAATGAAACATTCCAACGGTCCAAAGGAACTTTGAAAAATAATGATCCAATTCTCAAGGCATTGGTTACTTCAAAGCATACAAGCTCAAGTTCTCAACAATAGTAAAGCTTCCAAAACGAACATTGTAAATGTTTAAGATCACCCATCATAGACAATATAGATGACAAAGCTGTCGAAGAGTCATCAAAATTAGAAAAATCCTTGGTTTCAATCACAACCACGCAAGAGCTAGTTGTGCACATTCATCTAACTATTCTATCAAAGAATTTGTTACGAGGTTTGAAACTCGTAAAACCAAGATTTCTTCCAAAGAAAATGAGACATTACATGACAAAAATAAGGATCAACAGGAAGAATTTATAAAAGTCACCTTTTAGCGAAAAACCCACACCAAGCCATACTTTGCAATGCATAATAAAATAATGTTTAGAGACAATAACCCTATTAGGAATTAGATGAGACCAAATTCAAACTATCAAAACCAAATAAAATAGAAAGAAGATAGACAGAAGTAGCGCACAAAGAATTATGCAGGCCTTATCGACTCTGCCATAGAAATTATTATGACTTTGTGTGGAGGTTGGCAGCGCTAATCTCTTCAATGTCACCTAAAGATGGAGCCCCTTTTTCAAGAAAAAAAAATTTAGGCAACCAAAATATCTTGTGAAATCCCAAAAATACCCATAACAAAACAACCAAAAATAACTTTGTTCGCCTGTGGTCTGACAACATAATATCAAGAATGCTCATTTAATGTGCAATTCCATAATAGATATCTTATCTAGTCAATATTAATGAACATGTTATCTTTTTATACAACATAATCCCACGATCCTCACAATCTGAATCTGAGCTATTGGCATCAGAAGTGGATCACAAAATATTTGCTAGTGTAAAAATTAATCCATGACTAAGTTACGTAAAATATTTCTCCATAAAGTATAAATTAAGCTTTGAAACTTAACAAGCACAAATGAAAGCTAACAAATCATTGTATATCCACGGCAATGGCAATGATCCCTAACTCCTTGTGCAGAAAACCAACTGAAGTTGCACATAACCTAAATTTAGGGTATGTCCAAGGGCAAAGTTGTATAAGGTCTCCTTAGAGAAAAATTGATGGGACCAATGGCATTCGAGGAAAAAGACTTTACAAGAATGCAGCATTTAAGGTAGAAAAAATAAGATACAGTATTTAAGTGTCTGTAGGATTTAAACTTGCCATTTTCTCTATTCAGTAAAATTCAAATTAATCCTATATAATTATTATTCAAATCCAGCCACCAAACAATCCTCTCTGCCTCTCACTCTCTCTCATCCCCATTTTCCTCTCTCTACACCACTCCCTCCCATTCTCTGCATCCCACTCCATGAATCTCACTTTTTCTCCCTCCTAAGCTTTCTCTCTCTCTCCCTTTCCCATTCTCCTGCTCTCTCCCTTCTCTCGAACTCTCTTTCTCTTGCTTCCTCACTCTTTACAAATTTTTTAAAAAAATGAGATAAAAAAATTGTGTGCACCATATTGTTGCAACTTTTCTTGCAAATTCATCAAAACACACCAACGACTCACTTTGATGTTTATGTACCGATGCACATCATTTCAATGCAGAAGGAAAATTTAATATTGCTCATGTAATTTTTTCATAAAAGTGACCTATACACGTGATTATTTTGTATGATGAGAAAAAGATTCAAATGCGCCTTTTTTGGATGGCAAAAGAAGATCCAAGCTAACAAAAAAAGTAGTACCCACAAGCATCTTTTTTAATACGGCATGACAACTTTGTGTACATATTTTCAGGAAAATATGAAAATTGATACATGATTTACTTTTTGTGGTAGGGTAAAAGACATGATCAAAGTATGGTACATCACCCATATATGCATCTGCTTTGGCCCTATCGGAATTATGGTGGATTCCTCCAACACTGAATCATCTTCAGAAGGTGTTCTTGATTCCACCGGAAGATTGAGTCCAACCTCCACTCCCTTACAGATCAGAGAACCGGAAACCAACATGAGTTTCTTGTTCACTGCTCATAAACTGAACAGCAGCAAATGTCAATAATGGTCCCAAAGGACGTGGGAAGTTTGGTCACCTCATTGAATGATTCGTGAGCCTCCAAAGACTGACCCAGCATATGGAGCTTAGGAAATGGAGAACTCCATGGTCATGTCATGGTTGATCAACTCCATGGAGACTTCTATAGGTCGTTCATATATGTTCTCCCTTCTTCTAGTGCTCTCTGGACAGTTGTCTCTGATGTAGGAAAATTCGGCCAACTCATTGAGGTATCTAAGAAAATCTGAGAAACAAATGAACTTGTTGAATTGTTGAACAATAGATGGAATGTGACATGTATTACGACTATACTTGGGATTCTCCAGCCGACCTATCTTTTTTCCATAAGATTGTAGAAAGGGATCGTATGTTCCAATTCCTGACTGGTCTTAACAAATAACTTGACGAAGTCTGAGGCCGTATTCTTGGTCAGAATCCCCTTCCTTCCACTCGCGCCGCTTTCATCGAGATTTGTCGAGGTGAAAGTCTGCGACTCATCATGCTCGAAACCTCTACTCCTTCAATTGAAATGTCTGTCTTGATCTCAATTAGTGCTCATCCCTCATCCATGTCACATTGAATTAATCACCCTACTTGTGATTACTGTCACAAACCAAACCACACTCGAGGCAAGTGTTGGAAGCTTCACAGTAAACCAACTTACAAACCTTTGACCAAATCCTCTACTATCAAGGGTCTCACGGCGACAGCAAAACCTACCACGACTCAACCGACTCCTACCCAGAACATCCCGGAATCCTCCGAATCACTAAAAAACCAAATGGAGCAATTGATCAAGCTTCTTGGAGCCAATCAGGTCTCTACGGATCCATCGACTTCTTACATCTAACAAAGTACTCTTCCTATAGCTCTCACAATTTATTCCTCCTCTAGTCCGTGGATTATTAATTCAGGAGTCACAGATCACATGAGTAGATGCTCGCAAGCTTTCCCAACTTATTATCCTTGCTCTGGAAAAGATATAGTCAAAATTAACGATGGTTCATGTTGCTCCATTGCTAGTAAAGGGTCGATTGTACTGACAATTTGTCTTAATTCAAGAGTCTGTTTTACAAGTTCCCCAATTACAATGTAAATTGTTATCTATCAGCAAGCTATCGAATGATGTTGATTACATTGCTAATTTCTCTTCTAATGGTTGTGTTTTTCAGGATTTTTGTTTGGGGAGAATGAATGGAACTGTTAAGAGAGTAACCAAAAGAGCACTGAAAGTGCGGCTACCTCTCAGAAATTGTAGCTTATCTCAAGACATTAAATGTCTCATTATGTTATAGCATTTTCGTTTAGGTCATCCTAGTTTTCAATATTTAAAAAATTAGTATCCTTTGATATTTTCTAATAAAAATCCTTCTAATTTCAATTGTGAGACATGTCAGCTAGTCAACCATCATCGGGTCCATTACCCACCCCACATTTACACTCCTTCCGCTCCTTTTTCTCTCATTCACAGTGACCTATGAGGACATTCTTGCACTCCCAACTATACCAATAAAAGATGGTTCCTGACTTTAATTGATGACCGCACTCGAATGACATGGGTCTACATTTTAAAAGACAAATCGGAAGCTGTTGTCAACTTCCAAAATTTTTACACTTTCATTTTAACTCAATTCGATGCTCTTGTTCAGGTTCTTCGAGCCAACAATTGTCGAGAATTTTTCAACCCAATTTTAGGTGAATTCTTGGTAAGGGCATCCTCCACCATAGCTCGTGTATCGACAATTAACAAAATGGGGTAGCCAAGAGAAAAATCA